TTTAAGGGGGGGCTGGCTGGTGGCGCGCCGACAAGGCCTCCGGGGCGGCCGCCGCCGCCGAGGCTCGTCGAACCTTGCGGTGAGGTGAGGCGTGGTCTCAACGCACACACAAGCGAAGGTGGTGGGGGGAGGGGCAGGCAGGAGCCCTCGCAGCTCCACACCCAGACAGGCAGGAGCTGGCCCGGCATTAGAGTGCACGTCTCATGAACATCTCATGAGGAGACCCCCCCTCCCCCCCTGCTCCCAGACACCCTCCCGCCCACCCACATCCCGTCGAATCTCGTCTCGAACCTTGCGCGGCGGCCCGCCCTCGCGCGCGGGGGGGTGCCCCGCCCCTGCGGCCACGGTCGCAGCGGCCGGCTTGCTCGGGGCGCTGCCCGCTGCTTTGCCGGGCGGAGCAGTGTCCAATCCGGCGAGGCCAACCTAAGGGTATACTCGAGAGGCGCGCTCAGTAGGTCCCACGTGATTCGGTCCGTTGTGGGTGAGGGGTTGCTCCTTCTTGAAGTTTGTGTGTGTGTGTATGTGTGTGTGTGTGTGTGTGTGTGTGTGTGTGTGTGTGTGTGTGTCTGTCAGCATGCCGCGTGAAGAAGAGGCGGGGCCGCGTTCGTGAAGGCGCGTTGGGCAGCAGTCCAGCCCACCCCGCATCTAGGGAGAGGCGGGCCAGCGCGGACGCCGCGCACACGTCGGCAGCACGGGCGGAGAAGGCGGCGGCGGCAGAAGGCGCGGGGTGAGCCCGTTCCTCGGAGAGCCGTGCTGCTGGGGCGGCCGAGGGCGGACCCGCCTCCAGACCCGCCTCCGGACGCGCCTCCAGCCGCGCCTCCGGCCCCGCCTCCGGCCCCGCCGGCCCCCCAGGTCCCCATGGCCACGTGCGCCCCGTGGGCGCCGCGCGCGGGTCGTGAAGCGGAGCCGCAGGGGCAGGGGCGAGGCCGGCGGCGGGGGCGGCGGGGGCGGCGGGGGCGGCGGCGGGGGCGGCGGGGGCGGCGGGGGCGGCGGCGGCGGGGGCGGCGGCGGCGGGGGTATGCCAAGGAGGAGATGTCGGCGCGGCATACGCCCACCCCTCAGCCGCAAGTGCCGCGGCGGGAGGGCCAGGCTTGAGGGCGTGGGGGGGAGCCGAGAGGGGCGGCTCCGAGGCTGCGACGGCAAAGGCCATCGGCAACGCGATCAGCGTCGGCGCCGCGCTCTGCGAGGGCGGCCGCTGCGCAAACGGTTGCAGCGCAAGTGGCTCGAGCGTGCGCCCCACGCGGAACCCGAGCCATCCACTCTGCGGCATCTCGGCGAGACCCTCGAGCGGAGCAGTCGTCGCGTCGCGGAGTATGACCAGTTTTGGGCCCAAGGAGGAGACGGTCTGGTTGATGATCCGATACGGGGGCCACCGCTCTTCCCCCTCGTTCCAGACTCCGTTTGTGTGTTTGTTTGAGGGCAAGTTGGCACACATGACCACCCGCAGGCGCGAGGAGTGCACAAAGACGCCCCCTCCCCTGCAGTCTGCACAGAAGCGCTCTCGAAAGGCCGGACCAGGCTTGATCGGGACTTTGGCGCACTTCGTCCTAGCGTGAACAAAATTCGCTCCACCTGAGAGGACCTCGCCCCAGCAGTCCATGATGCTCTGCGCGCGTGCTCTGAGAACAGTCGCTATTCACGTAAACGCTTCGGCAGGGAGAAGCTCCGGTACCGAGGAGCTCTGGTGCATCAGAGCTCCCGGTGCGGCATGCGAGGCAAACAGCGGCGGTTGGCTAGAGATGAGAGCAAACGGCCGCTTGTAAGCACCTGCCGTTTCTTCCCTTTCTATGGGTGATGCTCCGATAAACCCGCCGGATCTTCGACAAAAGCGCGACATTTCTTTTTTTTGGAAGGGTAGGTGTGAATACAGCTTTCTGGTAGGGTTACATCGACGAACTATGCGGCAATCGACTGGGGGGCAGCCCCCCAGCACATCCCGCACCGAGACCTGGATGTAACCTGCGACGGTGTATCATTCACTTTATGCCACCGTTGCATATCCGTCCCCCCCCTCCCCCCCCCGTCGCCCCCGCCGCGCCTCCAGCTTCTAAGCCGTCGCCTTTGCAGTACCAGTCCCGTACCCGGTAAAGAAAGAAAGTAAGAAAACAGACAACCCAAGGGAGGGATGGGAGGACGGCACGCCGCCACCACACAGGGATTTTTATTACTCTCGTGAGCTGTGAACAGACGCACTTGCCTTCGGGGGCAAGTACCCAAATCCGCTAGGTTGGGCGTGCTTTCACAGCCTACGCGAGTAATTCTTTGTCTGCGATCACCGTCTTCCACAGAGGGGTCAAGGTCGTCGACCTCTGGGGCGGCTACCGCGACCGCGGCGCGCAGGCGCCGTGGGAGGAGCCGACGCTGGCGCCCGTCTTTTCCACGACGAAGGGCGTCACCGCCTTCGCGCTCGCGATCCAGAAGTCGCGCGGCGCGATCGACTACGACGGCAAGGTCGCGCAGTGGTGGCCGGAGTTCGCGCAGAACGGGAAGGAGGACGTGACGGTGCGGCAGCTGATCTCGCACGAGTGCGGCCTCGCCGGCCCGGCGCCCCCGATCGCGCTCGCGACGCTGCGGGACAAGGCCGCTACCCGCGCCTTCTTCGCGGCGGCGCCGATGGAGTGGCGCACGCCGGGCGACTACAAGGGCTACATGGCGGTCACGCTCGGGAACTTCGAGAGCGCGCTGGTGCAGATGAGCGACGGCGAGCGGCGGCGGTCCGCGGGCGAGTTACTGCGCGACGAGTGCTTCGCGCCCCTCGGCATCGAGGACGAGATCTACGTCGGCACGCCGGCGAGCGTGCCGGACGCGCGCTTCGCGGTGATCGACGGCATGAGCGGGCTCGAGCCGCTCTTCGCCGACAGCTTCCCCCCCGGCTTCGTGCGGCGGCTGCTCCTCGAACCACGCAGCTACACCGCGCGCGCCTTCGCCAACCCGCGCCTCAGCGCGCCCCCCTCGGTGCTGGACTACAACCGGCGCGAGGTGAAGGAGATCGAGTTACCCGCCGCCAACGGCAACGCCACCGCGCGCGCGGTCGCGACGCTCTACGCCGCGGCGGAGCGCGCGATCAACGACCCGGCGCTCGCAAGCTGCGCGCTGGCGCGGCGGGCGCGCGCGCTCGGGCTGAGCGCGGCGGCGCTCGCCGAGTTCACGGCGCCGGCGCGGCCGGCGCGGCTCGGCGGGTGGCACGACGAGATCCTCGGGATCGACGTCGCGATGAGCGCGGGGATGATGAAGCCCGGGCCGCCCGACGCGCCGCCCGGCCGGTTCTCCAACTTCGGCGCCGACGGCCGCGCCTTCGGCACGCCCGGCGCCGGCGGCTCCTTCGGCTTCTGCGACCCGGCGGCGGAGCTCGGCTACTGCTACGTGCCGAACCGCTGCAGCGGGTACATCCTCGACGACCCGCGGGAGATGGCGCTGCGAACCAAGGTCTGGCGCTGCGCGCAGCGGGCCGGCGGCTACAGCGGCGCGCGGGCGCTGCCGCTGGCGCGCCTGAGCGTGCCGCACGAGCTCGCGGCGAGGGACGTGGCGCGATTCCCGTACCTCGCTCCGCTGCCGTAGCGCGGGAACACATGCGCGGGAACCCGCCGAAAGCGAGGGTCACGATGGCGGCCGCCTAAGCCGTAGATCTTCACGCTGTGGTCGCCGCAGACTGGCTCCGACTTGACGGGCGCATGGAGACGTGATGCCTCCATGCGCCCGTCGAGTCAAAATCGACATGCGAGGCGATCTTTGGCCCGAAAGAGGGATAGGCGGCGTTTTGGGCGCGACAAACAGCGCTGCGACCGCGAAGTGGCGGTGCGGACATGATCCCATGTTGCCGACGCGGCGCCGGAGTGGCCGGCGCTGCTCGCCGCGACCACGACGGCTACTCCGATGCGCCGGGCCGACCCGTCCTACCCGACGGTGGCACTCTTCCACGTCTCGCTCACGCTGAGAAAAATTCTGAAACGGCGTCAGCAGAGTCGCCGACGAGTCGGTGCGCGTGCCTCCTCGTGTCGCGCATCGTTCTCACCCATCCATAAAGGCTAGTGCCATTTCACTGTGACACAGCTCGCGTTACAAAACCTTGATTTGACCATTTGCGCAAAAAGGTACATCTCGGTGCCTTCCAGAGGCAGCTGCGACCCCGCCGAATAGAAGGCGGCGCACAGCAGGTGGCGCGGTGCGCCGCCGTGCACTCGCCCGGGTCGCAGCTGCCTCTGCGCGTCCTGGGTATGTACCTTTGTCGCGCGCCGGAGACGACTCGACGCCGCTGAGATCGGAGATCAAGCTCTGACAGGTCGCACGTCGCTCCTTTGACGCCGACGTGATTTACCCGTGCAGATCACATCAGGACACGGTCTCGACGCGCTCGGTACGACGCCTGCGACCCGTATCGGGTCAGGTGGCACGACGCTCATCGCGCCTGCCAGCGCTGCCGTGCAGGCTGCCACGACAAGGTCGAGAACGCTTCTATACGCTCGCCCAGCCTTCCTTTCCATCCCATTAGGCAGCCTGGGAACGGTGGCGATCAGAGGCAAAGCCTACGAGGGGTGGTGGAACCACATGTCACGGCTACTGCCGGCTCGACCCCACGATAGCCTCCGGAGGCTGACTTTGCGGCACCATCATCGGACGATGTCGACGAGTTGGGTCGCTCTCGCGGTAGCCAGATGACCTCTCATACTAGGAGCATCGGCCATGGCCGCAGGGAGCGCGGGGGAGGGCGCTGGAAGCAACACGGAGCTCCGTTGGAGACGTTTTCAAGATTAGCGTGTCAGAGTGAAATGGCACTAGCCAAACTCACTTTGGCCTCACTAAAGCGATGCCTGAATCCTGAATCCTCAGATTTTAGATTAGGACGCTGTGGGCCCTCTAACAAGACTAGTCTACTCGCTGGAGCCGAGCAGGAGGGCCTGGCGCCCAACCCCTGGTCAACTCAGGGTCCTTCCCCTTTATTGATTAAGAGCGTACACATCTTAGGTAAAAAGAAAGTGTCTAATAAACCGACCGAAATGCAACATGACTTGACTGTTGCTCTTTCCTTACTCATACATAGGGATCGGGCTGACGCCCCCGGCCATCCTCCGCTCGACGATTTCTGCGACGCTCCTCGCCGGCGAGGAGCCTCCTTGGGCGTCTCTGGCTGAGGAGACGGAGCCGTCCGAGCCGCCGGCCTCCTGGGACCGAATCGACAATTGGTTGAACGCAGCCGCGGCCGACATGCTCCAGCGTGCGATGAGGGCGGAGGAAAAGGAGGAAGAGGAGGCTGCAGAAGCTGTGGCCGGGGGAGGAGGAGCCCCCACCTCGGCCGAGCTGCTCTCCTTGTGCTCGAGCAGGCGATGCCTCCCCTCGGCGGCGGGGGGCGCCCGGCAGATCCGGCAGCTGCAGGTGCACCCGAAGAGCAGCCCGAGGAGAAGCACCGCCGCTGCGGGGCGAGTGGGGCGGTCGACTAGGCGGTCGACAAAGACGGCGAAAGGGTCCAAAGGCGGCAGCAGCGGCGGCGACGGCGGCGGCGGCAAGGGCGGCGGCGGTAGCGGCGACGGCGAAGAGGGTGGCGGCGGCGGCGGCGACGAAGACAGCGGCCGCGACTGAGACTGCCACTGGAGCGGCCCCTACGCCCACGATGACGTTGAGACCGAAGGCGGTGAAGGCTGCGACGGCTGCGGCGACTGGCGCAGCGGCGGCATGCGGCTCAAGAGCTTCGAACGCCACGGCGGCTACGGCTGCAAAAGTCACGATACCGGATGCAGCAACTACCTCGAAGGTTGTCTACGCTTCGAGGGCGAGTGCAGCAAGGACGGTGGCGTGCTAATGATGTCGACGCACGGGCGTTGACCGCGAGCG